GTGGAGTAGCTGAACCTTATTATTCAGTGCCATTGTTCCTAGATGGTTGAGTGATTTCCAAGATAAGAATTTAACTTACTTGAGACTTCTTATCATCCCTCTCTGATCCTTCCAAAATGTTAAGTTATGTTTAACTTTCCTGTTGGTGTCTTCAAGTCTTAAAAGATATACATAAGGCTTTACTTGTTTTGATTCTACCAATTTGGACGTGGCTTCCTTTAATGTCCCTCAGAATGACATTGGTGGCAGGACCAAGAAGTTATAAGTGCTTGCTGTCTGGGTATAGCCCCAAGTTCTGTAAGTGGCCTGATCCATGGCTGGCTGAGCTGTTTCCCACCAGGTGGTCAATAAATTGACAAGACTAATAAATTAAGACAAAGTTACCAGATTGCCTACTTTTATTCCCACTCTGTTAGTTATCCAAAGAGCAAGATCTAGAAGGGCTTCTTCCCAAGGTCCATAAAACTTAGAAGAACTGTATATGAGGGAACCCCTAGTAGAGACCAAGCATGGATAGTTTGATGTTATTACCTAAAGTAGGAGACAGAAAACATAAAACAGAAACAAATATATACTTAACTTTCTTTTAGAGAATTTTTTTCTCAAAATATTTTATCAAATCAAAAAGAAAATTTATAATGTGTTAATCAGCTTTCCTTCCCTGTGACAGTATACCTGAGATAAACAATGTAAAGGAGGAAAGGTTTATTTGGGCTCATAGTTTCAGAGGTTTCGGTCCATAATCAGCTGGCTCCATTATTTCTGGGCCTGTAGTCAGGAAGGCACGTCATGGCAGAGAAGGTGTGGCAGAGCAATGCTGCTCACACTATGGTGGCTGGGAAGAAGTGAAAGAGAACATGCTGGTGGGTTTCCCCCTTCCCCTACTTTTGTTCCATCTGGGCCTTCATCCTATCCAATGGTGCCACCCACATAAAAAGGCTGGGGAGTGTACCTCAGGGCAGAGCCCCAGAGTAGATCCTCTCTGTTTGTTGATTCATAAAAAGGTCTCTGGAATCATCCTCACAGACACACTCAAAAGTGTGCTCTAGTTATTTCCTAGGTGTCTTTCAATCCAACCAAGTTGACAGTGTTTACTGTCATCAGTAACTAATGCCACGCCATGGCAGCTGGCCCTCTGTGTCTATGGAAGACTTAATTTTGGTATCCCTTGGGTGTCTTGAACAATGCCCCGCATCCTCTATATTCTGTTAAATATTCTGTTAAATATGCTGAACTACAAAGTTAAAGCAAATACATATGTTCTTGTTAAGCTTAAATACTGCAGGATGGAGCCATTTATATTGGCACATACCTGTAATCCCAGAACTCTGAGAGGTTGAGGCAGGAAGCTTTCAAGTTAAACCTGGGCAGCTTAGCAACTTGTTATGGTTTGGGTCTAGATGCCCCCCCAAAGCTTCATGTGGTCATAGGATTAACCTAGAATGTGTGAAGCTGGAATTCATTCATGATGCAATGCTAGGCTCAAGGGCACTAGGATTAAGGGTGTGAGTGCTACCTGCCCTAAGTAGTCTGAATAAGGTAAAAGGGACAGAGAGACACTGTTAACGCTCTTATTACCTTTGCTGCCTTGTATGTGCCATGTTGTTTCTGCTCTGCAATGCCTGTTTGTTATCCCTGCCTTGAAGTTGGCTGATTATGGACTGAAACCTCTAAAAACTGTAAGCCAAATAAACCCTTCCCCTTTAACTTTGGGTGTCTGGTATTTTGTCTCAGCAACGAGAGAAAAGTAACTAACACACAGCTTAACAAGACCTTGTCACAAGAAATAAAGAGGGCTGGGGATGTAGCTCAGGGCAAAGGTCCTGGGTTCACACTGAAGGTATAGCATTAAGTGTTCAGCTTTCAGAGTAATGCTACTCAAGTGTGGCCAGTAGACTGGCAGCTTTGGCATCCTGTTGGACCTTGTCAGAATGCCAAATCCTCGAGCCCTCCCCTAGACATTTCAGTTCCCTGAAAGTAGGACCCAGGTTTTGATGTTTAACAACTACCTTTTCAGGTAGTTTGGAGGCAGGCTCAAGTTTTGAGAAGTATTGCTCCAGAGTTTTGTAAAATAAACCTGGTACCTCATGAATTCTGCACAGTGCAGAATTTCCATTTGGATGTGAAGGTAACAGGTAACCATCTCGTCTGTGTAAACTCAGGAAACAGAGTCTCACAAGTATTGAAAGAAGAGGCACTGAATGAAGGAATTCAGTTTCATAGTTGATGTAAGGGCTAAGATAACAACAGACAATGAAACATTTTGAGATTAGCTAAAGCCAGTCCTTAGACTGGCAGGATGAGTGAGCAGGGAGCCCAGAGCTGCCTGAATCTGGAATCCCAGCAGACATTGGCAGTAGAGATATTGCTTGAGACACAGGGAACAGAGATGGACAAGGAGTGGCAGAAAATCCCTGGTTTGCCCTTTTTCCATCCTTCCAACTTCTTTTCAGACCTTTCTCTTGGCTAAACTGTTAGCCAGGCATTGTCCCCCCTGCCCAGTAGAAAAGAGATCCCTTAAAAGAAATTTTTTCCTGTGTTCAGTGTTGCGAAGCTAGAAAGCAAAACTGAAATTGAGAGTCGACAAAATAAGTTTATTCATTGGCTAGAGGATGAAGAGGAAGGCTAGGCTCGAAAATCAACTTCTCAACCCACTGGGGTAGGGAGGTTATAGATTCAGGGAAAAGAAATATGGAGGAAGGAGAGGGTAACAAAGGGGTGGAGTATTCATGTCTTTTCCTGGAATGGGCAGAGATTTCCTGTCACTCCAGCGCCATCTCATTTCATGGTGTGGTACTTCCTGCCAGGGCTGTGGGTAGGTGTGTCACTTAATCTGGAAATTAGATTATAAAGGAAATTGGCTGGAGGGCCTGCTGGGAGCCATCTTGGATTCAACTGGTTTAGGTAAGTCTATCTGAAGAGGGACTTCTGGAGTACAGGCATCCTGTCCTCAAAGATATACAAGGTTATGTAGATAATCAGTTAGGTCATGTTAACCATACACTGGGGGAAAAAAAATCCTATCTGAAAACCGGCTGACTCAAAACCTGGGGAATATGGTCAGCAGAGGAAATGCCCTCTGTGGCTCAAAGCAGAACAGGGGCAGTAGAGGCAGGATTCTGGGACTAATGCAAAGTCTTCAGCTTGCTGAATGGCATAAATCACAATAAATAACAAACAGGGAAGTGGCAGGAAAAGACTGGCAGAGGGACGTCTTCATAAGATGTAAGATGCAGTTCCACAGGCCTTCCGTTTAAAAGAGCTCCAGATGGTATAATTGTCTGCTGTGGTCATTTGAAAATTCCTCATAACTGTTGAATAAATACCCCATGTTTCCACTTTGCAATGAGCCCCATACGTAATATATACAACCACAACTAGCAGTAAACATTAAATTACTTCAACATAGAATAGCTATGTTCACAAGATAGGATGTAGATGGTACTTATTTAGGGAAGTTACATAATATAAAAATAACAATAAATGACTGCAAGGAGAAGAGGAATAACATAACCTCAAATAAAATAGAGGGAATGAGATAGGACATAGGGCATGGTTTAGGCTGGCTGGGAAGAGAGGCGTGGAGCGATCCCAGCATCCGCATAACACCGCCTCTCTGGACCCTATATGTAGAACTTCGCACAGGTTTCCGTGAGATGTGGACAACATATAAGAGCACAGACATCCAGAGGACCCCCGCTAGTGTGTCTCTTTCATGGCAGCCTACCCTGTGTCTTCCAGACCATGGTGCACGTTTACTTTTGCTTTTCCCTTTTCCTCTCTTATTTGGCCCAAGTTTGCTCTACATAGCCAGTTTCTCCCTTGCCCCCACTTCTCAAATAAACTTTGGCACCATTTTTGGCTTGTCTTGTTCAATTCTTTGTACGAGGTGAGAAGGACCTGGAGTATGTGTAATTGGCAGGCCCTTTCTAAAAGGGGCTACCTGATAACAGGAACATAGTAAAGACAGAAAAGAAAGTACAGCCACACAAAATGAGTGAAACTGTCTATGGAAATAACACACAGAAATGGTGTTTCCTGATGTGCTTAATCACAAAATGAGCCCCAATGAATTCATGGCTGTGATACTGTGAAATATGCTTTTGTCCTTGCTGGCATATAACTCCTAAAGTACTTGAAATCTTCTAAGTGTATGCTGATGAGCTGATTGGTGGCTGGGGTCCCCTAGGTAGCTGTAGGATGGGGGATGGCCACCAGAAAGCCAGACTAGAGGGCTGAGATTTCCAGCTCCACCCCCAACCTCCCAATAGGGGAGAGGGTTGGAAGGTTGGCCGGTAATTTAATTGTTCATGCCTATTTGATGAAGCCTCCACAAACACTCAAAAGAACAAAATTTAAAGAGTGGCTGGATGGCTGAACACAGGAAGATTCCCTGGGGAGAGTATGGGAGCTGATCAATGATATAACCAAATGTCAATATAAGGAAGCCTCCATAAACACTCAAAAGGACAGAATTCTGAGTGCTTACTGGAAGGTGGCATCATGGTGAGTTAGGTGGTGAGGATATGGAGATGTAAGGTCCTGACGCTCATCCCTTGCCCTGTGTATCTCTTCTTCATCTGGCATCATTTATCTCCTTTGTAATATGCTTTATAACTTTTGGGGAAGATAGGGCCTCACTATTCAGTTCAGGCTGGCCTTGAACTTTTGGCAATTCTCCTGCCTCAGCCTCCCCAAGTGCTGAGATTACAGGTGTGCACCATCACGCCCAGCTATAGTTTTATGATAAACCATTATGTTTCCCTGTATTCCGTGAGCCATTCCTACAAATTAGTTGAACCAGAGGATGGGGTTTGAGAGCCCCAATTTATAGCTGATGTGTCAGAAACACAGTTAAAACAACCTAGGGCTTATGATTGGCATCCAAAGTGGGGGGACAGCCCTCAACCTTGGGATCTGACACTGTCTCCAGGTAGGTAGTGTCACAGTTAAATTGATTTGGGGGACACCCATGTAATGTTCCTTGCAGAAATAACTGCTTGCTTTCTTGCTGCTGGGAAAACAGAAATTTCCATGATGAGGTCCTGGAAGTCTTCTGTGGTGATTACAGTTAGGGGAGAGTATAAAAGAAACTCTGCTTATTTCTTCCTTTTATTACCCATGTCTGTAAGAGATACAATTAAAACAAAAGGCCAATCATCATTAGTGTCTACAAGACATAGTCCTAAAACACATAAAATCAAACTTATAATAAAAAGATGGGAAATGCCAACAGACTAAAATATAGGTTGCCAGATACGTTCAAGTTGAAATCAAGCTAAGAACATTAAACTTCTCTGTCAGTTTATAAAGATGCCGTTCCTAAGAACTTCCTAATTCCCTTCAAGATTAGCATCAAAATATGTTAATAATTCTTTTTTATAATACTGTATATTCTTGAAAATGTTTATAAAAATATACCAAAGCTGAAGAAATCTTTTAGGTTGAAAAGGAAATCCCACTGCAGTAGACCAAATATAGACAGAGGTTCCCATCATATGCTGCCCCTAGGCCCGTGTCATCCATGACAGCAGCCACCGAGCCACATAGGAGCGCTGTGGAGTGCTAGGTGGCAGGTCAGCAGTGAGACGGTGGTATGAGTATAAAATAATATCAGCTTGCTAAGGTTTAGCATTAAACAATAATTTAAGTTGGCATATTAGGGATTTTTATATTTATTACATGTTAATGCTATTTTGCATATATTGGGTTAAACTACGTTATCAAATCCATTTGTCGTGGGTTTTTTTGCTTAAATTCTTTTATGGTACATTTTAGGTATACAGTACATTTACTTTTATCATTGGGTGCTTGTACCTGAACATGATGTATCTTGGTTATTTTCTCCCCATTACCTGTGCGCCCTTCACCCCCTCCACCCTTTGCTATTTACATAGACTTCCATGTTTTTTCTTTTCTCGTAATTTTTCCTTTCCCTTCTTTCCTTTCCCCTTCCCCTCCCAATTCCCCTACCACTTTGGACTTTTACTTCCTATTTCAAATTATCACTTATTCATTTTAATCATTTTAATCCTTATTTACACTTTCAGCTTCTCACACTAGAGAAACTATTCAGTATTTACACATGTGTGTCCTATTTATTTCACTTAGGAGGGCCTCAATATGCATCCATTTAGCTATAAATGTCTCTAGTTTCTCATTCTTTATGGCTGAGTAGTACTCCATTTTATAAAAAA